CCTAACTATTTTAGATGATAGGCACAAAGCTAGCCCACACCAAATGATGATCTTAGACCTAAAAGACATGCGGGATGCAAAATCATCCCGGTCTGTGTTACAACCTTTCTGATGGAAATAAAAAGGGTTAAGCAGTCATCATCTAAAATTATACCTCCGAGTCCCGTATGTTTTTCCTTTTCAGGAAATGGACCACATGGAAGGAATAATCAAGTGCTCGAGATTTCATACTTCAAAGGTCTAACACTAGGGGAACTATATATATATGGAAGGAGAAGAAGACTAGAAAAGCCAGAATTCGTGTCAAGCCTGAGGCAATCTACCCAACAAATCGAAAGTTAAGAGCGAACAAATCAAGAGCCAAAAATTCAAGCCTGATTCAAAAACCTATGATGAAATATATACTCGCAGATGTAAATTATAAAATCTTATGAGTATCTAGGTTAAAGGCAATATTTAGTCGTGGGTTGCAAGATATACTCTTGAATATTGTAAAATCTGTTATAAAGAAAACAATTATGAAAGAGTTGCAGATGTTAGTCGAATACATGTAAAGTATATTGTTTGAAAGTTCAAAAATACAAAACTTCCTCAAGTTATTCTAAGAAATATGTATGTTCCTACTTCTTCTTTCATATGCTGACACCAATATGAAGTTGAGACGTCTTCTTCATTAGGTGTCGTTTATAAAAGGGCCCTCTTTTATATTTCGTGCTTATTCAAAAGAGTCACGAAGCATTGAAGAATTTTTAATGCAAAGTTAAATAACAAAGGCTAAAACAAAAATCCAAACATTAAAATAGGCGGAAAATAAAGCCCAAATTTATAAATACAAGGCAAACATTTGTCTTCAAAACCCGAAATAAGGCAAGGATAAAACGATAAGAGAGTAGAACAGAAACTCAAAATAAAGGTATTATAAGAGTTAGACAAAACTTGGAAAGTAATATTATAAACTTGGTTAAAACAAAGTATAAACTTAGTTACAACCTAACCATTTGTTTCTAAACCCCAAAACAAGCCAGGGATAAAAAATTTCAAACATTACTAAACCCCCGAATAGGACCAGGGGTAAACTTCCAAACATTCCACCAAAAAAGAAAAAAACGAAACAACACTTCAAACTTTTCAAACTTTCACTGTGGGGGGCAGAATCTGAACTAGTAGGATGAAGAATGACATCATCAATAGCAGGAGGAACAACTTGAGCGGAAGAAGGTTGAACAGCAGCTTCACCAGGAGTAACTTCATCACCCTCGGGAATGCCAACCGCAGGTGATGAAAAGCTCCGACTCTGTTGGGTTTTCTCAATAGTTTCTTTAATCTTTGCAATCTTTGCAGCTAAGTCAAAGCCTTCTCGGCTTGCCTCCATTAAAGTGTCAAGGCGTGTGTTCAAGAAAGCCCAACTAATTTCAACATCGGCCTTATCTTCAAGGGCTTCATAATCTCTTTTCCACTGCTCAATCTCACTTCTTAGCTCTTTCTTCTCATTCAAGGCAGCATCATAAGAAGCCTGTAAGGGGACAAGTGAACTCTCTAAAAAGTGAACTCTGTTAGAAGACACTCGGAGATCTTCTTGAGTTTGGGTGAGCGTTTGAACAAGCTCCCCGGCGTAAACTTCTTTCTAGTTCAGTAGTTCCTTCAGACCCCTAATTTCTTCAATGGACTTAGAAAGTTGCTCAGCAAATGAAGACTCGAGAAGGTTTTTATCTTTGCTCGCCTGATTGGATGAGGCCTTCTCAACTGCCAACTCTGTTGCCATTACTTCACATGTTGCTCCAAGGTACACTTTTCTTTCTCTAAGATTTCTTTTTCAAGTTGAAGGCCATTGGACTACTCTTTCCAGTTGTCTGCCTCGATGTGATAATCATTCATTAACTGCTCTGTATGGATGATCCTCTTCATCATCTCCGTGCCAGTGAGGTTGATCTACATAAAGAAAAGAAAAATGTGATACCAATGAAAAGGAAATCACGTGCAAAATAAAAAGCTAAGGCTTATACCTTTAAAGATGAATGTACAATATCATTCATCCACGTTAAAGAACTGTGGCTTTCCAATTTTGACTTCTCAACTGGGCTAATCAATGGTTTCAGCCATACATCAGCTTGGCCAGATTTCTTCAGAAGATTACCATCCTCAAGAACCTCGATGGTAACTTTTTTCATTACCCTACTAGAGGAACTAACTTTAGCATGAAAAGTTGTAACAGTAGGAATAGTCGAGGGAGTCAAAATAGCCACGGGTGGAGAAGTGGCAGTAGCAACAGATGCGGGGAATTGAGGATCAACTGGAACAAACACGGGAAAAGAAGCAAGAGGCATTTCCTTAGAAACAAAGCCGAAGTCTTCATCAAACCCACGAGAAAAGAGCTGTTCAGTAGAACCTTCGGGTGCGGAAGGCATCTCATCATCAGAACTTACTAAGGTAGAACCTTCAGGCTCGTGCATGGGAACAGAACTGGGAGGAGGAGTAGCTTAGTCATCTGAAATAATACGTCTCCTAGCTCGAGACTTACGAACCAACGAGCTCTCATCCCGCTCCTCTTCACCCTCGAAAATGTGTGCTCTATCAGCTTTTCTTTTTGACGAAGAACTCAAGATTATCTCTTGAGCCATCGACAGAGAGAGTCTCGAAGCAGTAATTGATGCGGCACTCACGCCCCGAATGGGAAACCCTAATAAAGAAAAGGGTTAATAAGTGCCAAAGTAAGTATGAAAGCAAGGTAGAAAGTGGAAGAGAAGGATACCATGAGTCTTCACTTTCCATCCAAACCTGTTAGAAAGGTATTTCCAGGACCTTTCTTCCATAGGAGCAACGGTTAACAATTTTTCTATCCAACCACGGAAATCTGGGACTTCCTCAACAGCTTCCGTGGTTGCTGAAAAATGAAAAATAAAACAGCTGTGAGATTGCAGGTTCTTCACAAAAAAAGAAGAGGAATAGAAAATATGAAAAGAAACTTACGTGAAAAGTTCCACTTTTCTGGGAAAGGCATGTTCTCTTCTCTCACTAACCCACTTGTGGGAGCAGCAACGAATCGAGCATACCAACCACGATCCTTGTCATCTTCAGGGCTCACAAAAACCCTCTTACTCCTGGCCACGAGAGTAAACACCCCAGAACGAAATAACTTGGGGGAATAAAGATGAATCAGATGATAAAAGGTGAAGGGTAAAGAAGCCAAGTTTGACAAGTATCTAAGGCACGCCACAGCCCTCCATACAATAGGACCAATCTGTCCTAAACAAATATTGAAGAAAGGACAAAACTCTATGACGACTGGGTTAATAGGTGGTCTAAAACCCAATGTAAAGGGATATTTATACACAAATGAATAACCAGCTTGAACGAGGTGATCCTTTGATTTGCATTAGGAACTAAAATTGGGAAATTAAATTTCCAATAACAATCTCTCCGCACAAGGGAAATCAAACCCTCAGTAATTAGGAAGGGTAAACATCAGCACGATCATGAGAAGTCATGGAAGTGACTTGATTTCTAATCGAGTCTCTATCAGTAAAGAAGGAAACTTCAGCGGGAATGATCTCATCAACAGTGGGTTCACAAAGTGGTTCAATAGAATCCCTACTTCTAACAGAAGATCTATGTGAAGAAGAAGCCCTAGTTCTAGAAGACGATGGGGTAGTGGTACTGGGTTGAGAAGAAGAACCACGAATAGAAACAGATCCTAAACTACGTAACCTGCCACCTCTTCTACTTCTGGTAGGAGCAGACCAAGGGGGAAGTTCATCCACTATAACAACTTTACGAGGATCAGGATTTGAAGAAGACATAGTTGTATGAGAAAGTAAAACGTGATGAAGAACGAGAACTATAGAGAACAAAGAATACTGTAGAAATTTTTTGTAAAAACAAAGGGAAATGAGGTATTTATATGAAGAAGCAACCGTCATGTAAAGGGGGTCATGATGGAAACGTCATGATGAAACAGTCACTTCATGACTGATGCAGCCGCAAAAAAGCCCTAGAAATCGCCGAAGAGTCGCAGACCCAATTAACGAAGGCCACATGGCACATGCATTAAATGAAAGTGACATACAATGCGTTGGTTCTGGAGAAGACGTAATGATACATGGGAAACGGCGGCAAAAATTACTGCCATAAATGCCTACCACTTCCCAAATATTCAATTGCAGAATATTCGGCAAGTGGGGGGACTATCTGTATTGGTAAAAATAAATATTACACGTGAATTTATATGAGTGGCTGACATGACAAGACACGTGGATCAGTAAGAAAGCGACAGCTGGAGAAGAGGCACGAGTCGTAATAGATACGAGCAAATCACCCACGAGAGGAGAAGATGTGGTCGCTCAAGTTTAAATGGTTACATGAAGAGGTACCGGCGGAATGAATCAAGACAGTAAAAAGGAAAGATTCATGAATCATCAATTAATGAGCGTGAATGATATCAAACGTTGCAGAATCTTCATGAACAGTTACGATTACCAATTATAACGTCTCATTAATATCATTAATGCTCATAATGATTCGGTCATAAAAAGGGAAAGGCGTTGTACTTATAGATTCCTATATAAGGGAAAGAGATATCATTTGTACAGACACGTTCTGATTATTATTCAAATACAATTACTTTCTTTTGCTTATTATTGGCTATTTTTGCTATCTCATATTCTAATTTCCTTTCTTATCACTAAGTAAATATATAATTTCTTAATTATGAGTAACCCGAGTACTTCTTAAAATAAACTTTGACCAAATTTCACTATTTTTGGTTAAACAACCATCTTATTATCGAATTGGTTTAACAAAAAGGTGTTATACTTTTTGGTCGAACAACTATAACATTGCGTCGAGCTGAGCTTGTTACGATAATGAAATCGCAATGCACTAATGAATTCGTAATTTCATCTCCTATATTTATCTCTTTGCCCGTTTAATTTCTCAAGACATTTACGTTAATAGCGCTTGAATTGTAACAGGAGCAGCACTCAATGCGATAGTCTTGGGTCTTACCATCATCTGGATTGACTACATTTGAGTCTGTGGATGGTACAAACGGAGTTTGAATGTCTCATCAAATTCCAAAAGCTAACGAATATGATGACTTTTTTTGTTTTTTTGGTTACTTTGTTGATGATTTTCTATAATTTTTATCTCCTACCTCAATAACTACAAGACCACACCTTTGACTTTTAGCGATATCAATTACGTTCTCTGACAAAACAATTCAATAAACGTAACAAAACCCAAATCCTCCGGCTACTCCTCGGATAACCATTACACTCAGTTCCCAGACCGTCGCCGTCAATTGCCACCTGAAACTTCCAATTCCTCCCCCTCCACAACCGCCGAAAAATATCAGCCAATCTCCCTTGGCCCCTATTTAGCGCTCATGGGTGAACAAACCCAAATACAAGCAAAACCCGAAACCCAAACTCCACCCCAATCTCTACCCGATTCCGATTCCACCCTTGTATCCAACTCTCCCGTTGATCTTCCCCCAAACCCCTCTAACCCTTCCAAAATCCCAATTCGACCCCAGAAAATCCGAAAACTCTCTTCCACCCCCTCCTCAAAAACCCCACAAACGACCACATCCTCCGCGACGCCAGCATCCACCAAGAGTCGCCGAAAGAGCGCACCGAAATCATCATCTAGGGTTTTGCCCCAAATCATCAAACCCTTATCAGCTAACGGCGAAATCGACAATGCACTCTTACACCTCCGTTCAGCCGACCCGCTTCTCGGTTCCTTAATAGACACACTTCCGGTCCCTCAATTTGAATCACACCATTCTCCGTTTTTAGCCTTAAGCAAGAGCATTCTGTACCAGCAACTAGCTTATAAAGCAGGCACCTCAATTTACACGCGCTTCGTGTCCCTTTGTGGCGGAGAGGATGCCGTTTGCCCTGACGTCGTCCTCTCCCTATCCGCTCAACAGCTCAAGCAGATAGGTGTCTCGGGGAGAAAGGCTAGTTATTTATATGACTTAGCTAATAAGTATAAAAATGGGATTTTGTGTGATGATGCGCTTGTAAAGATGGATGATAAGTCATTGTTTACCATGCTTTCGATGGTGAAGGGTATTGGTTCTTGGTCAGTGCATATGTTCATGATTTTTTCACTGCATAGGCCGGATGTTTTGCCTGTTAGTGATTTGGGGGTCAGGAAAGGTGTGCAGTTGTTATACGGATTAGAGGAATTACCTAGGCCGTCGCAGATGGAGCACTTGTGCGAGAAATGGAGACCATATAGGTCAGCTGGGGCGTGGTATATGTGGAGGTTTGTGGAGGGGAAAGGGACTCCAACTACTGCTGCAGCTGCAATTGATGCTGGTAATGTGCAGCCGTTGCAGCAAATTCAGACAGGACAGGAGACACAGCAGCATCAGTTGCAGCTTCTCGAGCCTATAAATGGCATTGGGAATCTTGGGTATTTGACTATTTTCCGCCTGAAGTAATAATAGTCGTTTCTATATTAAATTCTAGAGTGGTGCGTGGTCATTAATCCTTTCATTGTGATTGAACTTCGATTGCCTTCCCGTTGCTTTTAAATTTGAATTCTTTTGCAGTCTATTAATTGCTCATGAGATAATCTGCAAATGGCTTGCACTGTGTTTTACATTCACTGCGCCGTTAGACAACAACCTGCATACATATTTTGAAGTAATTTCTTATCTCTTTTTAATGATAATATAGACAATATTTAGTTGTGGATGGAAAATCCTGACTGTTGCTTCCATATATATGCTCACAATCATGGCTTCATAAAAATCGGTTAATGTTTATTATGCTTGCTTGCATGATGGCTTTACATGAATAGCTTTCGAAATTATCAAAATGTTCAAACTGGAATCAAACAGCTTGTTGTATGACTAAAGAAGCTTTTCTTAAACTTTCTCCAGTGGTTGTAGTTAGGAAATTTTGTATATATGTCAAACTATCTTAAATTCTTTAGGTTTTGGATGTTGAGTTTGGTTTGGAAGTCATATTGGAGCTTAGGTGTATCAAATATTGGAAAAAAAGATTCATCTGGAAAAAAAGAAACAGATTGAAAGAAGAGTAGACTTTTTACCTTTTGTGAGACATGCCTTGAGGAATGAGGTTGATTCGTGCTTGGTTGTGAAAATTTATGTATTTATATGTAAAATCAGGTGACTGTAGAGGGAAAAAAGATGGAGTATATACATTAGTGAGCATGAAGTGGGCTGCAGTATGTAGCACCAAATGAAGGAAGGGGGAGAGCAGATATGGTTGTTTTAGTGGTTGAAACAAAGTAGGGTACCACGTTATACAAAATGTCAAAGTGTTTGATTCATATAAGCACTTAATTTATGATGCATTGAGATTTATGAAATGTTGGATACTGGTGCGTAAAATTGAAAATGTATCCTTACATTTTACTTGTATGTATTAAATATGATTGCTGATTGTCGTAAACTTATTCATTAGTAAGGTTGTCAATTCATTAACTGCACCATATTGCTATTTAAAATGTTCATTGCTGTCTTTTCCATATTTGTTTTGGTCTAAACCAAAACAAACTTATTCTTTCTTCTAAGTTCTAGCTATTGAATTTCTACGTTTATTCTGGTCATTTGGAAAGTAGAGAACCCAATTTAGGTTTACCTAATATGCAACCTATTAGCGCACATTTGTCGTGCATGTCTGTAATAGGTTCACTAGCCAAAGAACGCAAGGGTGTGGTCTAGTGTTCGATAAAGTGGACGGAGAACCATGAGGTCTCAGGTTCAAATCCCAATGGAGGCAAAAAAGTACTAGGTGATTTCTTCCCATCTGCCTAAGGCTTGGTGGATAGAGTTATTCGACACCTGTGTTGGTGGGAGGTTGCAGGTACCCGATGGAATAGTCAGAGGTATGCACAAGCTGGCCGAAGCACCACCGTCATAAAAAAATTTAGGTCCACTTGCCAAATCAAAGCCCCCCCCCCCCGACCCACACACACACACACACACACGCCCCCACACACAGTTTTTTAGATAATAGTTTATGACACCAATTTACCCTAACCCTCAAGATACGACATACTATTTGCTAATGGACAGTTTCTTGATTTCATTTGCTGGTGGAGTTGGCGATGAACTCTACCTATGTTAGTTTTGCAAAGTATAGTTGGTTTTAAATCCAAATAGATAAAGGTTTAGTAGGTCGACGGCCAAAGTAAAATAGGGCAACGAAATATTCAATTTGTTGGGACCTAGCCACCTAGGCAGTCCCTGAATTGAGCAGAATGGATATAGGATGAATGGATATAAGATGATGGATATAGTCGACCTCAAACGATTTAGAATTAAAGCACTGTTGATTGATATATAGCTAATAGACAGTTATGTTGCTGAATTAATAGGTTGATGTGGGAACTAATGTAGAGGGTGTTTGGATTGGTTTTAAAAAGTAGCTTATTAGCTAAAAGCCAAAGGTTATAAGTTGGTAATACCCAACTTTTGGGTTTTGACTTATATTTGTACTTTTCATGCATAAAAGTAAGTGCTTTTAAGCACTTTTTATCATTGTCAAACACCACAAAAAACTAGAAAAGTGCTTAAAAGCCAATAAGCACTTAAAATAAGCCAATCCAAACACCCTCGTAGTCTAATGACATGACTACTAATGTTACTGCTACAAAACTAAATGGGTATAGGACTGTCGCACCATTGGATCCTAGCATTCATGTGGGGCGTGGAACAAGGAAAAATAAACACGGATCCAGTGTTGTGAAGAGCAAGCGAGGAGAAGCGACAAGCCCCTTTGTGCTTAAAGCGAGAAGCGAGAAGCGCTCGCTTTATTCAACCTGCTACGCTTCACATCATAGAAGCCCCCGAGGTCTCGCTTCTCGCTTTAAGCGCTGAAGCGAGCGCTTTTCACAACACTGCACATATCTCAATCAGCCATGGCACGTTTTCCAAGACAAAAAGGCGACAAGTTAGACAAAACCCGTGAAAGATTTTCAATGGATAGGTGGAAGACCTTGAGGTCTAGGATTTTAAAGGGTGAAACCATCTGGCAGTGAGGTGCAGATCCTGGGGCAAGGATCCTAAATTCTTTCTGTGCCTTATGAAGAGGTTAGAGACAAATCGTAAATTTTTTGAGAGAGCATGCTCTTTACACTTGTGTATCTGTTGTTGTAATGATGGTCATGTACAACAAGGCTTAGTCCTTTAATCATTCCTTACCTAAGGAAATTGCTTAATTAAACACCATTAACTAGTTGCTTGATAGTAGTTGCCTAATTACTCCGACTTAGTGAATGGTTGCCAACTTGCCCCAGCTACTCTAGGCCTTTTTACCAAATTTCTGAGGTAAAGTAGATTCTTAAGAGAAAAATATGACCCTTTTCTCTTTGTTTATTTAATTTATGTAACCAGGCCATTCTGGTCCGATCTGCCCCTGGGCCAGCTACAATTTCCAGGCGGATCTCTCAGATAAACTTTTAATGCACCTTTAATTAGTTTATCTACATTTTCACTCAAGCAAAAGGGTGCAAACGCACTCTTGGAGTCCTAAGAACCTTTAACCTTATTCCCTAAGCTAAGATTAGCTACCTTTACTCTTTAAGCTCTATTTATTGATGAACAAATCAATTATACGAAGTAATATCATTAACTCAATCGTAGTAATAACCTTTAATCTCTCAACCTTTTTAGAAAGATTTAGTTGTATAAATGACACTCCAAATGGATATTTCAGAATTGATGAGTGTTTGGTGAGAAATGGGAGGAGTGTTATCCTCTTGAGAGATTGAGATTCTCAATCCAATTATTACACCTTTTTGCATAGTTGGCTGTTCCTATCCTCCTACATGAATGAGGTGTGTAATCAATTAGAACGCTGTTAGGTTAAAATATTTCTTTTGGTTTGTGCACCCCTTTTTTAATTTGCCCAGTTTTTCGCTACTGTTGGTATCTTAGCATTGTTTTTCTTGCGCTGTTTTTTCCTCTTTTTCCGATGTTATTCACTGATTCGTTAATTTTCTTTCTTTAAGAATCTTTGTGAAAGAAAAGGGGGCTGGATTAGAGCTGAAGTAATATAGTCGATTAATGTATCATGCCCAATTGGTGTGAGAATGAGGTGTGGTTGATTGATTGGAGTTTCCACCTTGTGCTTTATTGACTTGGTAGTATTCATTCCTGTCTATGTTTGAGGTTTTTATTCGGAATACCAGGATATTGATCTTTGCATCATTTAACACTTTGGTTTCAGGGCTTGCATTTGGAGCCAATGACCGAAATCGTTCAGATGTCAGACTATTCGCTGAGGCTGGAATGTGTATGCAAATAAAGAATCAGTTTCCTAAGATGCTGTGCACCAAAATTCTGTAGCTAGTGTTAGTATTGAGCTAAGCTAGGTGCTGTAAAGGGATGTGCTATATGGAAGAGCCTCGTTTGTTTGATTGATGTGAGGGACTGCACTTTCTTCGTATAGAGGTAATACAATGCTCACTATTTCTACACCCCCCCCCCCCCCCCTTCTCTTCCTTAATTCTCTTGTCCCATTTAAATGTAAAATCACGAGAATAAACGGCTTCCAACTGCATTGTGATTTTTAGCAACGAGGTATAATATAAATAAACTTTACTATGATAGAGATACAGCACGTGTCTTTGTTTCTATCCTTTTTAGTCTTGTTTTTGCGGTTGAGATCCATCTCGTTTATCCTATGTTGGGTTTTAAATGGCGGCATTCATCCAATAGCTTCAGTTCAACCAAAAGTGTTACATTTCAGAATATAAGATAGGTGCACATTATGAGTCTGAATCCTGTCATGAACCAAGTCTGGTATATTAGTGTAGAAGGGCTAAAGGGGTGAACCAACTATCCACTGAGTGCTGAAACTAAAAACAGCAGATTTATTTTTTGATCAAGGAAAATTATCAGGCATAGCACCTGTGGTATGGTGCTTGTCACTTTAGGCTTCACTGTACGTTTGGCTGGTTGTTTTCCCTCTGGCTTGTGGTGTCTGAAAGTGGTGTCTGAGAACTAAATAGGTGTTCTCAGCTCAAGCATTCACAATAACAGCACATTTAAAAAGCAGAGATTTTATAATTGTTAAGAACGAGTGTGTCAATCTCTTCTCATCTTCAAGGCTGCTATATTTTACCTTCTAATAAAATTGTCAAGTTTGACTATGAGTTAATGGAGTGGTAAAACTTTACTGTGTTCACATCAAACCAACGAATGTAAGACATGTCTTTTATATATTCATATTTATTACTTAATCATGGTTAAATGCCTGAAGTGAAATAATTTATGATCACTCTTGCCATATATGCAAAACAAAGCTGCCTTAATAGTAGTACATATTTTCAGTATATAGAAACAGCAAAACTTTTATCTTGAGAAAGGAAAATAAATTAAGACAAACTTACGGAAGAAGTATCAAAGTAAATTGTGATGGAACTAAATAATAACTAGTGATTAATCCTTAACTCAGAGACAAAGCAAGTGCCTGCGGGTTCGTTTCCAATTAAACTTTTTGGGAAAACAAATTTACCACATGACAAATGACAAAAAGGTTAAGGAGATCACTTGATGTACATGAGTTCAATCACTTAAGAAGGACCTTTCTCACAGCATATTACTGAGTTTATTTTTTAGGTTTCTCGCTCGATGTTCGATATACATATTGGAGCCTCATTAATCTGAATTCGTGTCGCTTAAGACCCATTATAGGGGAAGCACTTTCTACCTTTTTTTTAAATGCTCGAATTCGAGATCTCTAATTAAAATTTATGTTTAGAATGATCTTCTCTATTCCACCACAAACCCTTCGTGGTTAATATGTTTATTCCTCGAGTAGTTGTTGATTTTCGGTTATAAAATCAAAGGAAGGTTAGATTGAATTAGGATGCGTTGATATCCACTGTTTGACTTGGTTTTAGGTGAAATGATAGTGACGAATATACAATTAAATAAACTGAGCAATTTATGCAAAATACCAATTGAGCTTAAAATAATTACCCTTTACTATCTATTTGAAAACTATTTACGATATATATATATCCAGTTAAAATTAATTACCTAACCTAGCTTCACTTGATTTGGTTTGGTTTGGCTCGACTCGGCTGGTTCGGCTTGACTTAGCTTGGCTTGATTTGGCTTGGCTAAAAAAAATGGGTAAGGAAATACTTTTATGGGTAGGGATGGGTAAATAGTTTGTGGTGGGTGGATATTTACAAAAGTTCGTAATGCTACGTTTAACTTGTGTGTATGTGCTACATAATATTCACACTTAAGTGTAAAAAATAAATAGAAGTGTGTAACACTTGGTAATGCTTTATTAATTATTCAATTTTACAATTTGATCACTTTTTGTACAATAGTGTTATTAAAAGTATTTAAATTTAAGTCCCTTGGTATAATCATTTAGTCAAAAGATGTACACTTTTCAATTATCCATAAACCACTACGCAATTAAACTCTCATCCGTTGTTCGCCTACTGTAAATCATGAAACGACTAAGTTGTCACAAAATTCAGTCCATAATCTCTCCTAATCCCCTCACTTCACAATATTTCTTAATAACTTTTCTGGGTTCAAGTTTTATACATTAACACTGTAAATATAATTCACTTGAACCAAAATCCTTTTTTTGTTACTCATCATAATTACTGAAGTTAGACTTCCTACATTAAGTTGGCAGTACACCCCAGACTTTTATGACCTAATCGGGTACTGTTGAACCGAATTGACCTGGCATTTGAACCGATGCTCTAATTAGGGGTGTTCATAAAAATCCGAAAAACCGATCAAAGCCGAAAAACCAAATCAAACCGACCAAAAAAATCGATACTTTTTGGTTTGGTTTGGTTTTGGTTTTGAATTTTAAAAACCGATCAAATTTGATTTTGTTTTGGTTTTAATAAAAAAATAACCGAAAAAAACTGAACCTAACCGACCAAAAAAATTGATACTTTTTGGTTTGGTTTGGTTTTGGTTTTGAATTTTAAAAACCGATCAAATTTGGTTTGGTTTTGGTTTTAATAAAAAAATAACCGAACCAAACCGACTATAGGAGTAGCTATTTCAAATTTATTATTACACCTATATATATGTATATTTTTATACAAAGTTTCAAAACATTTATGGTGAATGTTAATCGTTTGCACTTTTAGTACAGTTTTTTACCTTTATATTCTAGTTTGATTGTTAGTTTCTTTTGTTAAGTGTAAGAATCCATTTCATGTTAAAAATAACATATTTTTAATTGAGTCCTTAAATTATTCATCACTATTTGATTCAATTATCATCAATATATTTTGGTAAATAATAGATTTCTCAAAGGGCAATTGATTTGATAGTGTTATGTTAAAAATGTGGTCGCCGGAATATGTGTTTGGTAGTGCATGTCTTATATTTAAGAAAAAACCGACAAAAACCGAAAAAATCGAAAAACCGACATAAACCGAATCGAGAAAAACCGACTTAATTGGTTTGGTTTGATTCTTATATTTGAAAAACTGACTTACTTGATTTGGTTTCTTTTTAGGAAAAAATCGATCCAAATCGAACCATGAACACCCCTATGCTCGAGTAGGCCATAGGGTAGACGAAAAGCAAATATTCGTCCTATAATATAATGAAGCATGCATTAGCGTGACAGAGAAAAATCATGACATGCTCAGATATCTTTTTTTTCGATAATTTCGTTTAGCCCTTGAAATAGTTGAAAATTACAATAACTGAGTTCATTCTTTGAAAATTCAACTATTCTTGTAAAGTACAGAGTTTTCTCCCTTAAATAATCCATAAGCTCTTTCACTGCAAATTATATAATCAATTCTCAATGGAGTTATTAAATTGGACAATTGAAATAAATAAATAATTCATATTCAATATTCGGAGAATTTTATTTGTTTAAATTATAATGTTATTTTTATGCTGGTTGTTAACGTAACATTTCTTCTTTATGACTTGAGAGAGATTATACTTGCAAAATGGACATCAGTGAAGTTAATGCAAATAATAAGAGGTACTCCCTCCGGTCCATTTTAAGTAATTTTTTGATCCTTTTTTTTGTGGTTCAAAATATTTGATAATTTTAGTTATCAAAAAGAAATTAATTTCTTCTTTTTAAAGTTGTCCTTGGAGTAAAGAGCCTAAGAATAATTTCTTATATTTTTAATGAGCAAATTAAGGTTAATATGGTCAATTTCATTGTTAATTAATGCTAAAAGATGAATTCCTTAATATGTGCGCAAAGAGTCAAAAAAATCACTTAGGGGTCGTTTGGTATGAGGTATAAGTAGATATAGTGCTGGTATAAAAATTTAATACCACCTTAATACTTTGTTTGGTTAGCAAATCTGGTATAAGTTATCCCGAAATTAAAATTAATACCGGGATAACTTATACCTTGTAGGGCGTGGGGTAATTAGTGCCGCGATAACTTATACCTTCTTCTTAGAAATTACGCAATTGTCATTTTTAATACAATATACCAAACAGTGGATAAAAAAATACCAGGATAACCAATTCCAGCATAACTAATCTCAGCAAAACTTATCCCAGCATAAGCGGCTGTATTCAAACCAAACGACCCCTTACCGGAGGGAGTATTTACAATCATGCATTGAAGCTTTGCCCTGAATCTGATAAGTGGTGCGCACTATATACTAGCCATATTTTGACTAAGTTGCAAATAGCCCTATCATTACCATTTTGCTATCTATATTGAAGCTTTGCCTTGGAACACAATCTTGCAAATGAATTAAATACAAAGAATTAACATTACATTACATTAAGGAAAACTACACAATGGACTGATTCCTGCACTTCTTAGGCTTGTTCCATCTTCAGACTTCCCATAAGTGAAATAATTGGAATAACAAAAAGCAACCATATAACTACTAACATACCATAAGAAACATAAGTCCATTACTATTTGCAGTAAGATGCTGCAAATTGAACATACACTGGGATTGTGAAACACCCGAGAAGACGAAAATTAGTAACCGGGCAGTCCATCTTCGGTGGTGGCAAGGGAAGGCGATAGAGAATTGCGCGATTCATCATAATCTTCACCTAATGGAGATTGTTCAACTCTGATCTCCTCAATCAACTTAACCACTTCAACCATTGTAGGCCTTTTTTCGGGTTGTGGCACAACACAAGCCATAGCTACATGTAGCATTGACACTAATTCCTCCTCAATGTTCTTGTACCTCAACAATTCTTGATCAAACACTTCAGCAGTCCACTCGTCCCTGACTACTGATCGAACCCATTTAGGCAAATCGACAGCCATTTCTTCCTCCTCAACGCGTGGCCTAGTCGGTGAAGGGTACTCTGAGGGAGCTTTACCGGTAAGCACTTCTAATAACAAAACTCCAAAGCTATAAACATCAGACTTTTGAGATAACCTCTTGATTTCAGCTTGTTCAGGTGCTTTGTATCCTCCCAATCTAGCTATTGCATGAACAGGATTCAATAGCAATGACAACCCAAAATCAGAAATACAAGCCACTCCATTTTTGTCAAGCAACACATTGGATGATTTCACATTTCCATGTGGAATTCTAGAATCTGCATACTCTTCATGTATATGAGCTAGCCCTCTAGCTGCCCCTAGTACTAAACTAATTCTTGTTGTCCAATCCAATGGAATTCTACCTGGTCCTCTGTTCCCTGTGAAAATCAAGCCCCCCAAAAGAGACAATCTTGAAATTCAGTGGCGGAGCCAAATTTTTTACCAAGGGGTGTCAAAATATAGAAAAATTAACAGATAAAATAGTTAAGGAGATTCAACATATAATATATATACTAGTGGCGGAACTTAGGAATTTCAGTAAGGAGGTTCAGTATATAAAGAAGTAAACATACGAAGAAGTCAAAGAGATTCAATATCTACTGTATATACATAAAATGTAATTGACCTAGTATAAGCCCGGTGCACTAAGCTTCCGCTATTGTATGCAACGTTACCCTACATTTCTGTAAGAGGTTGTTTCCACGGCTCGAACCTATGACCTCCTGGTCACATGGCAGTAACTTTATCAGTTACGCCAAGACTCCCCTTCAATTGACCTAATATATACAGTATAATTTTCCGGCGAAAGGAGTCCAAATGAACACCTTCCGGCCCCTGGCTCCGTCGTTGATATATACATAAAAATAAAATTTTGACTCAACTACACAGTATTATTTTCTGGCGAAGGGGTGTAAATTAACTGCTTAAATTACAAAACAAATCTTAAATTTACCATGAAGAAGTGAGTGCAAACTCCCATTAGGCAAATAATCATAGACAAGCAATTTCTCTTCCTTGGCATAATAATAAGCTCTAAGTTTCACCATATTAGGATGTTTAAGCTTCCCAATAACATCCATATATTGCTCAAACTCCTTTCTTGCACATGGATTTGCATCTTTCAATCTTTTTACAGCAACAGTACAACCATCATCAAGAATTGCTTTATAAACAGTTCCTAAACAACCTTTCCCAAGCATTTCAGCTGATGCTCTTAACAATTCCTCAAGTTCAAACTGTTTCCTCCTATCAAAAAACACAAGCTTACTCTTATCAGTAGTTGTTGTTCCATCACTATCTCCACCATTATTATTAGCATATACTCTTTTTTCACTTGAATAACTACTCCTTCTTTTCCCACATTCACTTCCTCCTGACATTGAATAACTTTCTCTTGAATATTTCCCACAATAATATGCTACTACAAATGACACTACAATTAACAATGCTACTACATTCACCATTACTATTGCTACTACCCCTCCTTTGCTTAAACCTTTTCGCGATTTTTTCGCCGGTTCTTCAGTTGAAATTGAAGGTAAAGAAGTTGGATTTGAAGGAACTGTTTGTGGTGATTCTGTTTCACCTATGTATGAACACTGAGGTAAATTGCCAATTCCACATAAACCTTCATTTCCAGCAAAACTATTTTCGCCAAAACGGTTGTATAAACTCTTTGGAACAGACCCAAAAAGCTCATTATTCGAAAAGTTTAGTTCTTTAAGATTTTGAAGTGAATTCAAGATTCTTGGAATAGTTCCGGAAAGTTCATTGTTTTGTAAACGGAGTGTGAGTAAACGGGTGAGGTTTGATATTTGGGTTGGAATTGGACCTTCGAGATTGTTGTTGGAAATGTCGAGGCGGAGGAGACGGTGGAGGGAGGAAATTTCCGGCGGAATTTCGCCGGAAAAGTCGTTGCCGGAGAGGTAAATGAGCTTAAGGTTGATGCATTGGGTAATGGGTGTGAGAGTACCGTTAAGGCGGTTGTTACGGAGGTCAAGAAGGCGGAGGAAGGGTAGCGAAGAGAGAGCAGTGATGGGTCCCCGGAGGTTGAAGGAAGGGAGGATCACGGCGGAGACACGGTGGTTTATGCATTTTATACCGAGCCATGCGGCGGTGCATGCGGTGGTGGAGTTAGTTGGAAGAGTCCAATTGTGTAGGAGAGTGCCGTGGATGTCTGTTTGAGAACGGAAGAGGAGCAGTGCGGCGGTGTCGTTGTCGTTGACGGCGGCGGTAGCGGCGGTGATGGTGGTGGAGATGAGAAATGTAAGGAGGAGAATGGCGGAGGAGGAGGAAAAACGGTTCATTTTTGGGGTTTAAGGCATAAAGAGCGGGAAGTGGGGAGTAAAGAGGAGTTGAGTTTTTTAAAAAAGTTAGGAAGAAAACAAACAAGTTGAATTGTGGATTAGATTGTGTGAAATTTAAGGAACAAAACAGTACAAAAAAAAGTTGTTGAATTTGTGTACATTGTAGATTAGATAGTGACATAGTGTGAAATTTAAGAAAAAAGAACAGTTCGAAAGAGTTGAATTTGTGTACAGTGTCAGTTTGTTTATGTCTTTCCCTCTCTAGCTTAAGCGAAAAAGTTAACAGAAATTGCACCGTAAAAATGGATGGTCGTAATTTTTATCGTCGTGTCAATTTTTTTAGGTCAAAAGTTAAAAGTATTGCTCATGGAACAAGCGAGCGTAAACACTTGTTAAACTTAAGTTCGGCCTATGGGGCAAGCAAGAGACTAAGGCCTCATTTGTTCACATAATGGTCTGAATAGGTATGTATGATTAAGATCTATAATAGAGACTTAATTTCATTAAGATGCTATCACATATTCATTATTAACTGCCGCCATCACCACCATACTCAATCACCACCACCACCATGCTCAACCACCACCACCACCACCACCACCACCTCCACCACCACCACGCCACCATCATCCTCAATTATAGCCGCCACCGTTATCGACTATCACCAACTACTATCCCCACCACTCCCACCACCATCATTCCCACCCACAATCAACACTCATTCACCTCATCTACCACAACTGACCACCCCATCACCATCAACAATCACAGCCGGCACTACGCATCATTATAACCTACCACCACCCCACCCACTCCTCAGTCACAACTACTACCACCACCCGCCATTATTAACTATAACCACCCACCTCCACCATCCTCAATCATAATCGCCACCACTACCAATCATTACTAGCTACTAGCATGGACCACCATCATCAACCAAAACTACCACCAACCACCAGGGGCGGATCTAGCGTGTAGTATACGGGTTCCCGGAAACCCAGTAACTTTTGCGTAGACCCTGTATTTTTGTTAAAAAAATTTAATAAATATCTATTTGTGAACCCAGTTATTATTGTATATTAATTTGAAATTGCGACAGGAACCCATAAACTTAAAATTCTGGATCCGCCTCTGCCAACCACCGCCTCTAGTTGGCATTCACCCGTTAGCCATCACCACCAACAACTATCATATTTTAAAAAACTATATATTTTATTGATAGAATATAAGACTAGTTAGTATTTCATTTGAATTTTATGTTTATTAATTTTCAAATAAAGATAAATTTTATATATTCAGATGTTAAAAATCAAACAGTCATAATTATTTCTATTCAGATCTTAATACACATCTTAATATATTCAGACGTGTATTCAGATTCAGATGTCTTAATCTTAATACACATCTTGATATTCAGATGTGTATTCAGATTCAGACGTCTTAATCTTATAAAAAACAAATGAGGCCTAAGACTTGTTAAACTTGAAGTTCTACCTATAAATACAATCTGACATCTCTATAACAACATCCCTATATAATAACTATGGGTGTTTAACGGGTGGGCCGGGCCAGTCCGGGTTGGGAAAAAAGGTGACTGGCCGGTTTCCAATTCGGGCCGTTACGGGTTATTCAAAATCGGGCTTAACGGGTCCGAGTCCATCCAGGTGAAAAATGAACCGGAAGGGTTACGAGTCCAAGGGGCCAGGCCGGGTCGGGTTAGTTTTTTTTTTTTTTAAATATATATTTTGTATAACTATTGTAATTTATATTAAAATAAAGTAAAAATATAAAACAAAAAACAATCTTATAAAAATGGTGTTTGAATAAAAGGATGCAAAAGCTTTCAAATCTTTATATTTGAAATTTTGAATATTTCATTAAGAATTTAAGATAATAGAATACAATGAAGATGGAAAAAAAATTGCACTTATAATTTGCAAGTTCTTTTTTTATTTCAAACTTACAAATTAAAGTTTACATTTTACAACAACTAAATTAACGAAAAAAGAGTAAAACTAAATTTTCATTGCATAATAATACTTCAAATTAATCTAACAAATTAAAACATTAAGCATAAAGACGTCTAATAATTTTAAAATAACACAAATTGTCTCAAATCAACTTAAATACGAATTTCTGGACGACGCTCAAGACAACTTTTGATATGCCTCCTTAAACAGCCTGTGCCTACCCACTATAGACGAAGATCTAATACTAGACCACAGTTCTTGCACTTTACTTTGTGAACTTCTTCATTTTCTTCTACCACCTCAAAGTGTTCCCAAACATATGAGCGCGCTCTAGAAGTACGGGGCATGATTTAACTTGAATTGAGAATTTGAGAAATGAGAGACGAGTGAAGAAATGAAGAAGATGGGGGTGTATTTATAGTTTTTCAAAGGGCTAAATTAGTGATTACAAAAAGTGTTATTTTTTAAAAGGCATTACCCAAAAAAGGACTATTCTTGCAATCAACCCGTTGGGCAACGGTCATATGACATTAAAAAAAAAAAATCAGATTTCTAGCTGTTAAACCAGTTTGGGCCGATCCGGTTAACCGATTCAACAGTAAGTTTTGTTGACCGGTCCGGTTAACCGGATCTTTTTTGGTGAACGGACCAGCCCCCCAACCCAGCCCACCCGGCCCCCTAACTACCGGTCCGGGTTTCAACCGGTCTGGGCCGGTACGGAAACGGGTCAACCCGGCCCGTTGGACAGGCTTAATAATAACCATTCACTATAAAAGTTATATTGTTTTCGGAATCGATCTTTTATGTTGTTTAATATATGTCCTCTATAACAACACTTTACTAGATTGGTACTTAAGTCATCCCTAAAAGAGAGAGTTTCAAGTATCTTGGGTCTATTATTCAAGGCAACAGGGAGATTGACGAGGATGTTACTCATCGTATTGGAGGGGGTGGATGAGATGGAGGCTCACCTCAGGGGTTTTGTGTGATAAGAATGTGCCACCTGAACTTAATGGCAAGTTCTATAGAGTGGTGTTTAGACCGACTATGTTGTATGGAACTGAGTGTTGGTCCGTCAAGAAGTTTCATATCCAGAAGATGAAAGTAGCTGAAATGAGGATGTTGAGATGGATGTGTGGGCATACCATGAAAGACAAGATTATGAATGAAGTTATTAGGGACAAAGTAGGAGTGACATCTGTGGAGGACAAGTTGTGGGAATCGAGGCTGAGATGGTTCGGGCATGTGAAGAGGAGAGACATAGATGCTCCGGTCAGGAGGTGTGAGAGGTTGTCTATGACGGGTCTGAGGAAGGGAAGGGGGAGGCCTAAGAAGTATTGGGGAGAGGTAAATAGGCAGGACATGTCATTCCTTCAGCTTACCGAGGATATGTCCCACGATAGGAAGGTGTGGAGGTCGATGATTAGGGTTGTAGGTTGACAGATAGTAGTGTGTTCCTCCAAGGCTGACCAATAGTACTAGGACCGTTTTTGTAATTTCCTATTTATGGTTCTTTATTATTACATGATGTGGCATTCGCTCCCGTTATCATGTTACATTGTTGTTACTATTCTTTGCTACTTGGTTTCTTTATCTACACCGTTCCTTAAGTCGAAGGTCTATCGGAAACCGCCTCTCTATCTCTATGAGATAGAGGTAATGTCTGCATATGCACTACCCTCATCTTTGTAGTGCAGCGTCAGTTTTGTGTACAGCGTCAGTTTGTTTATGTAGCATAAGCGAAAAAGTTAAGGTAAGAGAGTAGACCAATGAGACTAATACTAGTACTAATTTTTCTCTACTTTCATTTTTAGACTATGCTTAGGTTCGCAAAAACATAATAAGTGACACTTTGATAGATGAGGTGGATTTAAAAATATTGTTGAAATGATATGAATCAGACTGTAATGAATACATGAAAAATTAAATTCAAATGGAACAGATGGAGCTAGTTTAAATAATCGACTCCATTTAATATGAGAATGAGATATAGTTGATTGAATATTTTCATTAAGACTGGACTGTAAAGTATTGACTCACTTATTAACCTATTTAATCTCTATTTTTCCCCCTCAATAACCTATTTACTCCATAAGACACAGTGTTAAAAGATTACAAGTTTGACTTTTGCCAAGTGCATTATTTCAGGTTTAATAAATTTTGGTGATAAGGAATTCTTGACTATTCTATGATAATTTAAGTTACAGCTAGTACAACATGATTAAACTTTAACTCGGAGAGGAAAGAATGTACATTTTAATAAAATGTACGTCGTAGTTAAGGCCTCTGAATTAAACAATCCTTATAGTTGATTTTTTTAATTAAAAAAAACATATCATTAATTAAACTAAAAGGTCTAGGATTAAAATTTAATATATTTAGTTTTTAAGATTTTTAGTACTAAATTTATTGCTGTTAAAATTATAGGTTCAAATCCAGGGGCGCACGCATGAATTTTTGTAACACGGTCGAAATTTTATAGAAGAACATGAATAATAACTTTAATTATCATATTTGGGGACAAGAAATAGCCTTAGTCTATTGATTTTGTTGAGTCTTAAGTTAGAAAAGGTCCTGAGTTCAATTCTATTTAATCACTTTTTAACCACAAAGACTCTCCCAAATATTTGCCAAAAAAAATGTGCTAGTTGAGGTTCAAACTTTGACCTCCTAGAGCAAACCCAAACACATAACCAACACAGAAAGAGACAATTTAGGTCAAGTGGTGTTATTTTTTCTTACTTATCCGTTTTCTCATAGTATTAATACATATATTTAGTAAAGTTTCCGACGAAGCGATGTCGCGTGACACCGCTTCATCAAACATGCATCCGCTCCTGTTCAAATCTAATACTTGGACAGTAAGTTTTTATATATAAATTCATACTCCGTGTGATGTTTAGCTTAAAGCATATATATTTCTATGTATATCGCCTCATATTTTACTTTTGTTTCATGAATTTGAGATGTTACATGTTATGATTTATATTAATTTGAAGTGTTTTTATGTATAGGAATGATTCGGGAGCAATTGGGGGCGAAACGTGCAAAATTAGAGCCAAAACGGAAATCGGGAAACTTGCGAATTTGGGCGCCACAGGTGGCGCCCAGCCCTAGCTGTAGCGCCAAAAACAGTAGCTAAAAATATTGGAGCGCCGTAGAGGGCGCCTGGTGCTAGCCAGGGCGCCGGTGACGTGAATTTTCTCCAATTTCGCCTGGGACAAGGTTATTTCGGCTCTAGACCTACCCAACACGTAT